TTATCCAATTTTTGAAGAGAACTCCCGAAATTTATGAGAACATGTCATTACATCTAAACTCCTTGAAGTTGCTAGAGGACCAGACTTCTTAGACAGATCTTCATGAAGATGGCTCCTGGCCGTAGGGTTAATTATTTATGTTTTTTTCACAACAAGGACATTTGATTTTATGCAGTTATTGTAGTACTACTTAGATTTATTTTCCTGTTATTTTATCAAATTTCTGATTTGGATGTTTTTTTTCTTTCTCGTATGGACAACCTATATGTTATTTTGTATTTATGTCTTGTTATTGTACGCTTTGTGATTCAATTTTCGATGTTCTTTGACATTGTTTGATTCACATGTATTACCTGAACAGAGCATTTGTTTAGTATGGATTCACAAAGAGAGACGTTAAAGAAAACTTGTGACAACTGTTTGAATATTGTATAAATACTACAACTCATACGTTGATCGAACTCCGTGCATGTCATCAACTTACATTGGTGATAAATGAGTTTGGGAGCTACTACAAAGACACACTACAAGATTCAACAATATGTTTTGTATGACAACCTATATTTATGGATCTTCTTGATGAACACATAGGAATTATGGACTTCATGACTGCTCAAGAATGACAATCAGAGATGTGTTAACAATAACCTTCTACATTTTATCACAGAATGAATAATTGAGAGGAATGATGGACCGATTTCAGCATTCATCGGAGATGATCAACAGATATTTCTCAGTAGGGTTAAAAGCTTTTGTTAGTTTGTCGGCACAGATTATTAAGTAGAGGATCCAACATTCGAGAGGACTCTAACAAAGATTATAAATGATCCACGATATATGTCATTTTTTAATGTAAATCTTTTTTTATTCATTTTATTCATAAGTTAAAATGGGTAGTGTGGTTATCACAACTTTATTTAATTTGTCAGAACTGTATTGGAGCGATCGATAGAATCCACGTAGATGCACGTGTATCCAATAATGAAAAGATCGCATTCATTGAGCGTTGTGGATCACCTTAAAAAATTTGGTCGTATGTGATTTCAATATGTGTTTTACTTTATGGTTGGTTGGGAGGGCAGAACACATGATATTCGTGTATTTGCTTTTGCGATAAGAAATCAAAAGCACAACTTTCCTCACCCACCTTCAGGTTTGTTCAACTATTAATCATATTCAAATATTTTTATGTTCATTATTAATTAATTTATTTGGAACAGAAAAGATATTATTTGGTCGACGTTGGATATCCCTTACAAAGAGGACATATGAAGCTATTTCCGGATATGAAATCACATTTTCGATTTTGAAAGATCCAGCAGTGTTGCTCGGGGCAGGAAAGAAAATGTTTAACAAAGGCACTCTTTACGCGGTATAATTAAAAGAATATTTGGAGTACAACAACAACAACAAAGCCTTAATCCCACTACGTGGGATCGGCGTGGGAAATCATTTTTCTCCATTGTGTCCTATTTAGTGTCATATTTTCATTTAGTTCTAGTAAATTAAGAACATTTTTTATACAATAAACAACCCAATTCTTAGGTCTGCCTCTGTCTTTCTTAACAAAAATCGAATCTAAAACATCTACTCTTCTAATCGGATCATCAGATGGTCGACGTTTAATGTGACCAAACCATCTAAGACGATTTTCTCTAATTATGCCCGTCACAGGAACTACACCAACCCTATCACGGATATATTCATTTCGCATTTTTTCTCTAAGTGTAAAGCCACCCATCCACCTAATCATTCTCATCTCGATAACTTAACTTATTATTCTTCTCTTTTAAAAGCCAACATTCAAAGCACTTGCAGAGCCATAGAGCATTGCAGGTCTCACCACCGTTTTATAAAATTTTCCTTTCAATCTAAGCAATAGTTTTCTATCACACAAAAGGCTCGAAACATTCCTCCACTTCAACCAACCAACTTGAATTCTACTATTAACATCTCCATCTATATCACCATCAATTTCAACAACAGACCCAAGATATCAAAATCGTTCCCACCTTTTAATGATTTGATCACCCAAAGTCACACTTCTGCACTAGAGCTACTACTAAAATTACATTCCATGTATTCAGTTTTAGTTCTACTTAAATGAAGGCCTTTAAACTCCAAAGCATACACCAAGGTACATCCTCATGTAGATGCCCAGTAAGACCATCCATAACTAAAGCAAAAAGATATGGGCTTAAAGTCGATCCCTGATGTAATCCAACAGAAATAAGAAAATATTTGGTCAATCCTCCTTCAATTCGAACACAAGTAGCATCTCTAGCATACATATCTTTAATGACTTGAATATGATTCATATCAACACCTTTCTTCTCACAAACTTTCCAAAGGATATCTCTTGAAACCTTATTGTAAGCTTTTTTTTTCTAAATCAATAAAAATCAAATGTAGATTCTCCTTATTGTCTTTGAACTTCTCCATCAAACCTCTCAATAAATGTATAGCTTCCATGGTAAACCTGTCCGACATAAGTTCAAATTAATTATGAGAAATCTTTGTAATACGTTGTAACTTATGTTCAATCCTATGTTCAATTACCCTATGTTCAATTACCCTATCCCATAACTTTAAAGTATGACACATCAACTTAATTCCTCTATAACTTTAAAGTATTAAAGAATATTTGGAATTTAGAAGAAAAATAAGTCATACTGCGTGATATGCCGACATATCCATTTCCGAAGCAAGTGCAGATTGTGATGGCTACAATGACTCCAAACTTACATTCGACGACATCATTCTCAAACTAATGTAGACTTCAGCATGACTGACGATGAACATTTACATGTCTCGCCTGAAGCATTTGAATATCACATAGGACAATCTATACCACAGCCAGACGTAGAATCACAAGAAGGTTACACCAAGGGTGGCGAAGGTGTCGTAGAAATTATTGAATTGTGAGAGCGGATTACAGATATCATTGTTAGACGTTGATTGGACGATTCTTGTTTATTTTATACAGCTCATGTTTATTTTATGTTCCTTATATATTTTATATTGATTTTTTGAGTTTTTTTACGTTGTTTGTAATTTTTTTTTCTTTTTCTTTTGGTAAGTTTAAGATGTTCATGATAAGACGTTTGACCTTATGATTTCTTCTGGATGACCTGTTAGTCACTATTGGTCGGTGTCATATATGAAATCTTAATGAAGACAACTAATTTTCTCTCTTCGTTTCAATGCTGCAGTTTTTGAGATTCTTCTGAATGATATTTTTTGGTGATATGCCTATGTGACACACGAGCTTGATATTACATGAGTTAAAAACAACCAAGAACCCTTTTTTTACAAGATCTGTTGTCTTCTGATAGTGAGAGATTCGTCGGTTGGTGTATTGAGTATTCTGAGACCTCATGTCTACTAAAAAATATAATTAATTACTTCTTTTATCAATTTATGCTTGTTTATTTTATATAGTTCATATTTATTTCCGTTCTTTATACATTTGATTATGATTGTTCGAGTTTTTTACGATGTTTTTAAGTGTTTTTTTTTTCTTTTTTCATTCCTTTTATTTTACTTTTGGTGGGTTTGAAAGATTTATGATGAGACGACAGACCTTATGGTTCTTCTAGATGGTCTGATTGTCGGTATTAGTTGGTATCACATGTGAAATCCTATTAAAGGCGATCAAGTTCCTCTCTTTTTTTGGCGATACGGCTTTTGAGGTTCTTCTAGATTGTCTTTTTTGGTGATATGCACATATGACACACACGAACATGGTATTACGTAAGTTAAAGACAACCAAAAACCCTTATTTTATAAGGTTTGTTGTCTTCTTGTAGTGACAGATTCGTTGGTTGGTATACTAAGTGCTCTGAGACCCCATGTATGCACAAAATTGTAATTAATTACTTCTTTTATTAATTTATACTTTTGTTATGTCTAATAAATTGTCTTTTGAAGCATTCAAAAAATATGAGTTCAAGGCTTTCAGAAACCTCTCGAGAAGTGTTATGTCACTGAGGACTGCAAAGTTCCCTGCGCACGACACGTTAGCCACATAGCTACGAGAGACAGTTCTACGGGTGCCCGCGGAGAATCACAAACAAATGTGACTTCTTCCGATGGGCAGATAAACTGTCGGATTCCATCGCCGAGAGTGATCAGGAATGGATACTATCCCTGAAGGGCGATCTAGCTCGAGACATACGTCGTCTCTATTTTAAAAATAATATTCTCATATAAATCTTATTTTAATAGTCTTGTTCTTTATTTTAGTAATGATGATGTTCACTGGTAAGTGAGGAGTATAACTTATTTTTTGTATTGTTCTGAAGTGAATTTTTACTTCTAAAGTATCAAATATATTGTTATGACAGTTATGTTCAAACAACATTATTACACGGGCGGAATAGTCATTTGTCTAGAAATAATTATGTTGCAATTATTTTCAAACAACAATAAACAAACAGACAACCAACTTCTGCGAAGTAACTTTCTGGTGCAACTGTTGCGCACGAGCTTATCAATAACCTACAGCTGCCCTAAATAGACCCTAAGTCAAATAGACTGCACAAGACAAGTAGCATCCTTGATGCAAAGCACAAAGGGCACAACTAAGCTGAAAGAATGAAAAGAGAAGGCACTTTATTTAATATAGAGACAGAAGATTACAAAAAGGTGTAATGTTAATCCATGTCTGAAAATAAGTTCAGATTAAGTATCATTTTTTTAAGGGAAGATTACATACATAGCACACAATTCTTACTTATTTAGATATCTCACACCTAAACTTTGATATTTACATAAATAGCACCTTGGTGCTTCAAACCTATGCATGAAAATGTGTATTTAACTTTTAAACAATGGTGATAGTTCTATTTTTGATGTGATGTTAAAGATTTGAGTGATATGTATGTGAATATAAAAATTTAGGAGTGAGATATGTAAAAACATATGAAATGTGTGTTATGTATTTATATGCCCATTTTAAAAAAGATGAGAAATTTGGGCTAGTGACACGTACAACTTACTTCAGGTTGGTGTGTGCTTCCGTTTAAATTAAAACAATGAGAGACAGGCCCATCAATAGGTCTCGCTCCAAAGCCCCAAGCTAGAAAGCGCTTATCTGTGTCATAAAACTGCAGAATTTCTGCAACATCCAATATCGCCTGAAAGTTAAATGGAAGATTAGCATTTGTGCACAACACTATGCCTTCAAAAGTTGATGAGAAAAATGAAAAACAAATTAAGAGAATGGTAAATAGAATGCATAAATAGCTCCTCACTCTCTGATAAGCATTTGGCCGCCCTGAAGGATCAATGTAATGCAATGAATCTGAGAGGCGAGGATTTCCATTTGAAGCTGCCAAACAAGAAGTTTGAATATAAAGAAGCTTTAGGCAAGAAAAACAAATAGAAAATCTTCAGGCCCAAGAAAAGGAATAAAGTAACGTGCACATACCAGTGAAGTCTATTGCTACCATGAAATTCATTTCACAACCACCAGCAATATAGTCCAGGAAAGTCTGTCTCTTATTCTCAGAAAACTTTTGCACAAATAATTGACCCTTCAATATCTAAACAAAAATGTAGGCTTACCTTCTTGAAGAAAATGTATCATCAGAAATCACTGTAAAACTGCTCATATTTAACTGGATGGTATTACCTTATTGAGATGATTAGGTCCAGTATTACTGGGCAAGAAAAGATATTCCCCATGTTGATGCTGGTGAAGCTTTTCCAAGTCTTCCAGTGATTTCACAACTTTGCTGTCCAATCAGTGCAGCATAATAAATTTAGCTATCAAATTCAGGTCATATACAAAAAATAAGAAAATGGAAAATTTGCATACAGACACCACAATTCTTATGTATTTACATATCTAACATCCAAAGTTTGATATTTACATGTATAATACCTTGGTGTCATAAACTTATGCATGAAAGGGTGTATTTTACTTTTAAAAAGATAGTGATGCTATTTTTGATGTGATGTTAAATATTTAAATATTTAATTTTTAAGCTGTATGCAAGCAAATATGAATATTTAAGTGTTGCATATGTAAATACATAAGAATTTTGTGGTATGTATGTAAATGCCCATAAGAAAATATATGCAAGCACACACGAGAGAAAGGATGTGGAGTAAAAATAATTGGGAAGGTTCTCACCCAATGAGATCATGCTTTCCATTGCTATTGAAGTTGTAGCACTCAATATTCAAAGGTGTATCCTGTAAATTGTTCATGGACCGAGTTATAAGTTGATATGACTTAAAAAAGAGGGCAGACGCCAATTTAAATAAAAAAATAAAAGATACTCATGCCTTGCTTCCAACTTGTTGAAGATTTATAATTACTGGCTTCCAAGTGGGGTTGAGATCATTCTTTATAACTTCTGTCTTGTAAATTGGTATAGGAGGACCAACCTCCGTTGTTTTAGAAATCACCAAGAAAGGATCCTACAAACATTAGAAAAAATAGAATTAAACTAATTTAGCAATTCTCTAAAACACCGTACACCCCTTGTTAATAAGTTAAGCAAGACCCTACACTTTTTGAGAAGAAATCCTTATTCTCCAAATTTGCACAGTGAAATATTATCTCAGACATCATTTTTGAGCTAAAACACTCTTCCGCACGAACAGTAAGCTCCCCTAACTTTTGAGACCTTTTTCCATGATCTCCATGTTCTAGTTTAAGGGTCAAGGATCTACTACGTTTAGTTGCAACCTGCAAATAAAGAAAAAAAAAATCCAGCAACGTCTCAAGATAAGTGTATAAGATTTTCTTGGCTTTGAAAAAGTAACGAAAAAAAGGAGTATAAAAGGAGAACAATAATCCACAAGTTCATGCAAAAATCAAGCAGAGGGTTTGAACGTGAACGGTGCTACAAAAGGAAAAATGTTTTGATCATTCTAAAAGATGTAAAAACACTAAGGATAGAAAAAAGGGGCAAATACATACATAGCAACCGAAACATTGCTATTTATAAATCAAGCACCCTCTTTCATCAATTTTTCAAATTCTCACACGAATATCAAAATTCATGATAAAACCCCAACCCATATTTTTCATTTTTATCAAATTCTCAATGGTTTGATCGTGGCACGCATAACTAAATCAGTTTAGTAGTTCAAAAATATCACTAGGGGTGCTAGATTTTGTAAATAGCAATGTTTCGGGTGCTATGCATGTATCCCTATATAAAAATTACAAGACTAAATATAAAGCAAGGCGATTCCATTCTAATAAACTGATGACCAAAATTCATCAAAAGGCAAACCTCTGAAAGAAAACAGCTAGCTTCACCCAGAAATTGTTGCTCATCCAACTTCAATGTCTGGAATGATCAAAGCACTGTAAGCAGCTAACTACATGATAAAATTATCTACAACATCAGATCAAGTAAATGCTGAAATACAGCTAGTATCCAAAGACATGTAAATAAAAGATTGAAACTAAAAATTCAATGATATTCATAAAAACACAAAAAATTGCTGAAAGAAAGTAACTATGATACGATCCAACGTCAAATTCAGCACGTTTTTTCACAAAAATTTGTGGGCAAACTCATTTTTTATTGCAATAATCCAAACAACTCATACGAATACAAACGATAAGCACCTACAATTTTAGAGGCAAGCGATCTCTCCCACTTCCTACAATTCGATAGGTAGGAAATATCTCCCAAAACCTAAACCTAACACCCACCACTCAATATCATGCATAAACCGAAACCTAGACATAACAAGCCTATTTTAACCCAACAACAATAATAATAAAGACTAAATTTCTCTTAGGCGTACAAAAAACAAATTTGCCCTTAGGCGTACAAATAACAAATTTGCTAGGCGCCAACATAATAGTACTTGCCCCCCAAAAGACACCTTGTCCTTAAGGTGGGAAAAAGTGAGAGTGTTCCTCCTCCCCTACACCCATCTCTATTTCTTTACTCTCTGCATCCTCGTCAGGCACTAAAAGAATTATAATTTTCTATCCTTGTAATGGTGTCCCGGGATAAACTTCTCATCACACTGTAAACATAACCTCTTGACTTGCTTCTCCAGAATCTCTATCTCTGCAAGGTGCTTGAGTGTTGCCCTCGGTTGTGGTCTATTATTCGTGTCCCGTGCCACCTCACTATGAAATTCCTCTATTTGAGCTTTTGGTATCGTCGTGGTTGCAGCAGTTTGGTATGGCGCTTCATCTGTGTTACTCTTGTTGTTCGTCTCCATCTGATTCTTGTCCTCTACTATCTAAGCTTGCTTCATCGTCTCTCTCAATTCCCACGGACTCAATAGTTTCAGTGATGCCTGTATGTTGGGCTTTAGACCCTTCATTAAATTTTCCTCCAATCTTGCTTAAAAAATCCCCCTCAGCTATCCCAAAAATAGCTCAAATCTCTCTCTGTATTCCATGACAGTCCCCTCCCAAGTCAAGGCATAGAGAGGGCTCCAGATGGTGGATGTTTTCCTCTTCACATTCCTCACGTTCGATCTCCTTTCCTTTCGATCTTGCCACAGATTCTCTAGTCAACCTTTGATTAGGGTTTGCGAATTGAGTCGTCAGCAGGGTCATGGATTTCATCTCAATGAGCCTCTTTAACATCACTTGAATTTCCCCATGCTCTCGAATCGGTCCTCCAATCGGTTCTCCATTGAAGAGAATCAATCCTCTATGGTCATGAACATTTCTTCCATCCCAGATCTGATTTGACTCATCTCTTCCTCTAACTTCTTCTCTAAATCAACAACTCATGCTTTAATTAAAAGTAGTGCACTAACCCAAATCCAAAGCCAATAGATAGACTTCGGCTTTAATCTGATCACAAATGTACTGATACTATCCATGAACATCAATAATTAAAGAAACACAATACACACGAATGAAATAAGCAGTTAGGACCTAGCTTGAAAGACATGACACACATAAAAATAAGAGGATAGTTAGCACAAGGATGTCTGCGGAAGAAAGAGGAGGGTGGAAAAAGTGTTTAATTCATAGGCTATAGTTTAAAATTCTAGTGTCACGAAATTTGACTTTTCAATATTTCTGCAGATTTTGCTTAATTTTCAGTTTATTTTTCCTTCTTAAACTAAAAATATCAAAAAATACTTAGAAAAGAAGCTAATACTTCTACAATTGTGGTAAAAGCATAAATTGTCTAAGTATACCAGACCATTTGTGATGTACTAGTATTCTATGACTGGTAGACCAGCTATTCCCTTATATGAGTAAAATTTATCGTGAACAAGAATAAATATTTACCATTCTTACAAAAATTTGATTTTATTCTCGTTAACAATAACAATAGAAATCAGTAATGATAAGTATCATAAGCATTGCACTTCATTTTTTAAATAGTATCGGACACACTGATTTTATTGAGATATCAAACCTGGTCATTCTTTAACACTTTAGGCCCCAAATTTACGCATACTTTATTAATGCCAGAACTAAGTAAGAACTCAATATGAAGCACTTGAGATGTCATGCAACGCAAGACTCCATGAAATAAATTAACTATATAAAAAGAGCTTGAAAAAGGTGTTGCTATGCTACCCTTGGATTTCAGAATAATTACTTGAGATTTGTGTCAAATTATAGCCTAAGAAGTCAATGCGCAAAACTTGGGAGTCTTGCAAGGTAGATCTAATTAGACAAGGCATGACCCACCAAAGTTGCTTGGTGCATATATAAGCTATTCCAGCAGTCAAGAATAGAGAAACTAGTTGTGAGAGAAATCAAGGCATGGAACTCAAAGTCCTAGGAACAAATATATCCACCTCAAAAAGTTTATATGGAATAAGTTTGCCATCTGGATTACAGATTCCTTGTGAATTTGAAACTGTTGAGCTTCTACTTGAATAGATTCTTAGTAGGTTTACTGAAAATAATTTTATTGTTGAATGAGAACATAAAAAATTGTGGACAAAAGAGCTCAGTAATGGTTGATAACAATATCTATAAATTGATAAGAACAAAACAAAGACATTTGTTGAGATTATAAAACAAATCAAACACCATGAGCACACTATTAGTAACTGTTAGCAGGTTACAATGATTTTGTTCAACGTAGGATACACAAAGAGGAGAAAACTGTCCTCTTGCTATTTTTCTACTTAAAAATTGATTCATACCTCCATAATATGACAATTTAGACACACAAGAAACATTAAGAAACTTGGTTCAAGAAATAAAACAGAAAGAATGCAAGTATCACAATGAAATTTTCAAAATCAACTGTCTTAAGAAAACATATTCAAGGACTACCACAAAGTTAAATTGTTTGATGATGAGGAGTGAAAAATAATACCTTTTCAGGTACATTATGGAACTGAGAATCTACATCATATAACCGGAACCTGTGGCCAAATTTGTAATCATTTAGACTAAGTAACAAAGAAAATTAGATTTAAGATTATAAACAAAATGACATGAACTTGAGTAAGCAAATGCATATCACATTTGGCAAAATCACAGAAGCTTACACCAAAGGTTGCAACAACTCAAAATGGTAAGTTAGTTCAATCTTTGCAATCCATACAGGATTTAGTGAATTTAATACTACTTCAGTTCGACCAATCTCTTCAAGTGTTCCATCTCTTCGCTTTGCATAAACAACAGCCATGGGATCACTCTGAATAGAGAGTTGTTAATAAATCATGAGTTAGAATGTGTATAGATCTGTCATGTTATAACTAATTCCTTGAAGGAATAGCAATCCCTAATAAAATGATTATTAGAGAACTAGATAGGAGACAAATAGTTTTGATGGACTAACTTCATTCTTTAAAAGAATCTCATTTAGGAAGTAAGAACTTTTCTGTCAAATCAGCGAAGAATATTCAAATCATGCATAAATAACCTTCATAGAGAAGAGTTGGAGGAATTGAAATAATTAAAGAGAGGCAAAAAGGTAAAAAGGAAAAAAAAAACTAATTGTTCAAATAGCAATTTGGATACTGTGATAAATGATTGCCTAAAGGAATGAAATCATATTGATGATATAACAAAAAAAACACAATATTGATAGATTAAAAAATCAAGTGCGTCAAAAACTCCAAATAATTGGATAGATATTGAAAATTAGCAAATATAGACAACAAATAAATGTAGAAAATTATCTCAAAAGTCTACAATTTCAGAGACTAGAATGTAAATATAGATTACTGCAATTAATAAGTGCAGTAAAGAAGGTTATTTTACCTTCGAAAGTACGTCACGATCAAGCAAGTTTGAAGCAGACAGTGAAAGCTATTGCAAAACAATGGATAAAGCTATGTCAGCACAAAACATATAGATATAACCATAAACCATTGAAAGTTCATGTTAAAGTTCAAAGTTCAAATATACACAAAAAATGGGAAGATAACCTAGAAAAAACATCAAATATCAAGTATTTAAGGAGAATTCTACTATTTTAGAATTAAAAGAATAAATAAATAAACTTCAGTGTACCAAAATGACTGAACTTCAGCAAAGACAGCACAGGAACATACAGAATGAACAAACAAACAACATTTTAAGATGATTTTTCACAATGATTTCTTCGAAACAACCTAATTGAAAGGGAGCGTTCAATATATTATTCAACTACAGCACAGCACAATACTTAAGAAAAGAAAGAAAATTCCTCATCTCAGATTCACAAAAGAATTCTCGACGGATGCATCAAGTTTTAGTGGTTTTTCGTGCATTATCTTTAGCTACAAATGTAACATTGAATAATTTTTACGCACTACAATATTCATAAACCATAAAAAAACTTCCTTAAATTTGGCATATACATGAACAACAGGCATCAAAGTAAGCTTCCAGCTTACATGTACGATGTCCAGTGAACATCAAGATTAGCCTCTTAGTTAATTCTCATTGCAAACTGCAATTTCTTAAATGCTAGCTTTGATCCAACAGCAGACCCTTCTGTAGGGCAGCCCGGTTTCATCAATTCAACAACACAGATTTTCTCTAAATATCTGCAATGAACTTTCACAAGCAAAAATTTGCAACGCAGTTCCATTCTCTTCGAATTTAGAATAGCAATGTAGAAAGTGCTATATGGTTTACTCTCATCACGACAATCGAAATTTCTGGATATTCCAATGACGCCGCACAAGGAAAAAAAATCTCAATAACCACAGCAAATTATGCAGAATAAATGGCACTGTGAGCCGAATTCCACATACGCTGCAAACTTATATCTGTAGTCTCTTACTCAAGCTTAAATAAGCAAACAGCTTCCAAATATCATCATCTATTTCTCCAAATCTCTTTGAAGAGATAAGAAGCTGAGTTCAATCATCAATCAAAAGAAAACCAAAAAAACATTATAGAAAATAGATCCCGGCTTGTTTGCTGCATCCGAAACATTACACGACAGATAAGAGGAAACGGACCTCGATCCGGGAGACGAGACCGAAATGACCGCGAGACTTCAGGAAGTGGTCCGCAGCTTCAGCGCTGTCGGCACTGTTTGATCCCACGGCGCCAACTGCGGAGGCTGCGCCTGCGACAGCGGCTCCGGCTTCTCCGACGGCCTGCACGCCACCATGGCTGTCATCGGAGCAGCAATTGCCCATGTAAAGAGACCCACCTCAAACGAAAGGAGGGAGATGATGATAGAGAAGAAGAAGACGAAACAGAACAGAAAGACTAATATCCTCGAAAAGCGACGCTATAGGGGTCCCGGCGGCAAGTCGTGACCGGGGAATGAAAAAGGAGGGAAAGCGCGTGGATTAGAGAAGAAGAGCAGGCACTTCCGTTGCGGCAGGCTAAAAATGGGGCGTTACATACTAACATTGGCAACCCCCGATTGTTCTGTATTAATATCACAATCCACCAAGCTTCAATTTTTATGTGGATTCCTATATTTTCGGAAATATGTTGAATGCTTGATATGAAAAAAAATTAAATTTTTGGTGATTGATGTGTTAAGACATGGAAATCAATTTATTAGCATCTAAATTTCCCTAAAATTTATTGATAAATAAAATTGTATATAAAGTAAATGTATGACAAAATAAAAGTAATAATAAAAAACTATACATATTAATGGAAAAAATGATAATATAGATTGACTCTATAGTTAATTTAATTATTCAAAAATAAAAAGAGTGTATTTTATATGATATTTTTTTCTTAATATTGACCCCCTTTTGTTAATTACTTGTTATTCATTAAAGTTGAACACATTAACTAAAATTGTTTAGGAAATTTTGGGAGAACCTTATAAAGCTTGAAATCAGTTTTAAGTTTAAATTATATGTGATCAATTAATTGGTGGGTTTAAAAGAAGTGATGGATTTAAAATCTAACTAGTTTGAAATACATTTTTTTCTTACGTCAAGCAACTAAATAGACTGTCACAACACATATTGGAGGTTTGGAATTTTCAAGGCAAAAATTGACGATCAAACGGTAAAATTAAAAGTTTATATTATTCAGTTTTTATTATTACGATTTATAATCCAATTAAAATGATAAAGACACTAAAGAATGTAATTTAATTAACAAATAAATTTTTATATTTTTGATTGTTGGTCTGGTCTTTTATACACATTCTCTTGTATATTAATCATATTCTATTTAAAAGCTTAAATCTAAAAAAAAATTAAAATAATATAATGAGTTATCTAAAATAACCATGTGAAAAAGTTACACTTACAAATTTTACTAACCCAAGAAAAAGAAGACAATATGTATGATAGATTATTTTGTTATATTATATGAAAATCATCTAATAGTTTATATACATGATACATGACATTTACCCTTGAAATGAATCTTAAATTTTTATATGCATTAATTCACTTTGTCTTTTAGTGCACTTTTTAATCATAACTTGTACATCCTTCTTGGAAGCATAAGCTAAACATAACCTAACACAATTGATTTGCATACTCTATTGGCACATTGGTTCATGTACTAGGTCTACTACTGTCTAAGGTGGAAAAGTATTTACTCACCCTTGGTCGATATTTTATCATTTGTACGATGGTTTGTGATCTAAATTACAAGATTATATTATTTGGTAAGAAAAACATCCACATGTGGATATATTGGGGTTCCTTGCTAATAACTTTATAGAAAAATTCCTCATGCAACAGTTTAGCATGCATATTTTTTTTAATAATATGAAGATCTTGTTGCGATTTAAATTACACTGGAATATAGCCTAAACAAAATCAGAATATACATTTAAATAAAAAATATTACTAAAATTTTGAGATATAATACTCATATTAACTTTTCTTGTGTTATTCTTTTATAATGCACAAACACTGATCTTATCTTCGTTATCCTTTAATTTGATCACTTGCATAATATTAATCACTCATTTTAATTTAAAAAATATTAATATTAACTTAATATTTCAAAATAACTAAAATAAATTAAAACCATAAACTTGTGTTTTTTTACCTATTCTTTCTTTTTCATTCTATTAAAGTTAATAATTCTGGTCTCCAAGTCTTATGGAGTAAGACTTTCTTGATTTAATCCATTTTTTTTCTTATATGCTTTATTATTAAATTACCAAAAACAAAAACAAAATTAATTTTCAATTAATCTTAATTTAACTTATTAAAAGATAAAATTACAAACTCTAACTTTTCTTTCTCCTTTTGTGAAATCATTAATTGAAATGTTTAAATTTTACGAAAAAAATGTTCTTCCACCTGATACACCAAAATTCTTTGCATTCTTAGACCCATATTTTATACTCATTTTTTGTGATATTGTACTTTAATGGAATGTATTTTTATATTTTCTTGCAGGTTGTTGAATTGTAAGACCTAAAGCAAAAAGAAGGAAATTTGGAGCAACAATGAAGAAGTTGAAAATTTGTTCAACGCCGACGACGCCAGAAGTAGTGTCGACGGTGTAGTTTGACATAGAGCATTAAATTAAATAGCAGAACGCTGGCGCTAACGGCGTCAATGTCGATTCAGCTCCTATTTCTAGAAGATTTGACAAATCTAGACGCTTTTTGAAGAGTTTTAGGATGCATATATTGGAGAACCGACTCTAGGCTTTATTTGGGGCCGGAATTAATAAAAAAATGACTCTTCTTGACATTTCATCGCCCCAATTCAACCCTCTACGCATCACACATTCCTTCATTTTCATTGCACAACCATTTAGAGTCCATTGTTCTTATAATTTAGAGTTTTGTGGCGAGATTAAGTGTGAATTCTTCTCTAAGGGTGTTGGAGAAGGAGAAAAGTGAGAGATTTATTCTTCCTTCATTTCCTAGAAGAGGCTACAAGAGATTTTCTTTGAGAAAAAAATTCAAATAAGTGTTGTTTTTTTATTAGTGTTGTATAAACTTTCTTTTATATATGAAATTTGTGTTTTGTTGTATCTTTCTCATGAAGTCTGAGTAGTTTACTTTATCTTTCTTCCTACTCTGAAATATGGTGAAATGAAGAGATAATATGGATGTGCCAATATTAAAATATAAAATAAATTATGATGATTTTTCAACTCAGAACTTAATTTACTTTTTGATCTAGCCAATTGAGTTGTTAAAATATGTTGTGAAACATATGATTCGGGAAATGGAGTATGAGTTCTACAACAGAGTGAGGATCACATTTGATTCCATGAAAGAGAACTTCGTTCATGGAATTAAGTGCAAATAAATAGGGAAATATACTTTATTAGGTGTAGAATTGAAGAATCTTTAGGGTGACAAATTAAAATCCCCAATTCGGTCTTAGTGTTTAAAAACTAAAGCGAGAGTTAGCCTTCAGGTGAAGGGAAATGGGAGCTCTGGAGTGGGAGCGAATTTAGGGACTAAACCTGGGATTAGCCAATGATTTTCTATAACACTGTATCAGGGTAGAGAATTAAAACTGCTCCTATTTGGCACAATACATATTTAAACCATTTATCTCATCTCATTTTACCAAAACCTTATTGTAGTTGGAAAGATATTTTTTCACATAAAAAATCTTCATCACATAAACATAGTTTAATAGTTTAATATTTAATGTTTAAACTTTGTTTTTCAGTTTTATTAGTAGTTAAATAATTTAGTTCTGATAATATATCAACATTCAAAATTAGTGATAGTAATTTCGTTTTGACTTTTTATGAATTTACTAGTAAATTTATCATTTCAAATTTAAATATTCTCCGTGGGATCAATATTTGGGGCTTAAATAGAAAGTCTTTTATTACTTGATAACGATATGTATAATTGCGTAGAATCTCAATATTATTGCTTAAATTTCTAATTCATAAAATATTGCATCAAGTTTTTGACATCGTTGTATAGCGGAGTCAACTATATAATTTTTACATAACTATATAATTCTGGGATCAAGTTTTTAGCGCCGTTGCCGGGGAAGGTAACGGTAAATTAAATAGATTTGGTAAATTAGGAAATTTAGAGATAATTAATTAATAAAAAAAATCAAAAATCCAAAAAGAAAATATATTTTTATTTAAGAGCTATTTTTAAGAATTTTTTTTTGCTTATTATATTTGTTTATGCGAAATATTAGATCTGAAGGTGTAGTACCTTACGAACAGAATTAGAATGTACTATTAGAAAAATTCAAAAACAACAAAAGAAATTAAAAACTTAAACAAAATGGCGAATAACTTAAATAATCAAATAAACAAAAATCCATAAAGACCTTTAAAAGATTATGTTAATCCGACAGCAGATGAAATTCACTTAACTATTTAAAACCTTAATGTTGCTGCTAATTCATTTGAGCTTAAACCTGCTATTATCCAAGTGGAACAAAAATATTCAGTTTGGAGGAAAACCTACTGAAGATCCAAACTTACATCTTGCTAGTTTTCTTGAAATTTGTGCTACATTTAAATATGACGGAGTGTCTAATGATGTTGTTAGGCTTAGACTTTTTCTTTTTTCATTAAGAGATAAAGCAAAGCCTTGGTTAAATTCATTAGCACCTGGATCTATCAGAACTTGGGGAGAACTATCACAAAAATTCTTAGCCAAATATTTTCCACCCTCAAAAACTGTTAAGCTTAGAAATGATATTACATCTTTTTGTTAGTTTGAAGGGAAATCGATATATGAAGC